CCCTCCCCACGCCAGCGCCACGCTGCTCACACCCCTCCACGCACCCCCAACATCGTCACCACCATGACGCCGCCGGGCACGCCGCCGGTACGCCGGAGGAATAAACTGAAGCCCCCCGGGACACCCCCGCCCTCGTCGCGAAAACTGATCCACCTCATCCCTGGCTTCACCGCGCTGCACCGCAGCAAGTCCCATGAATTCCAGCTGGGTCATCGCGTAGACGAGGCACACACCCCCAAGTAAGTGGGTGCCAGTGGGGTGATGAGCCCCCGTACCCTCAAGTGAGTGTGTGTCCCAGGTGCTGATGCACGGTGGGATGATGAACCCCATCCTAGCTCCTCTGGAAAGTGCTTTAGGCCCTACATGTTGAGGCGCGTGTTCTTTTTTTGTTTGTTTGTTTTGAGGTAGAAAAGCTCTTTGTGGCTCTAGCAGGCGGCAGGGGCGCTGCTGAGATGGTGCCTGCTTTGCTCCCTTGGAACCTCATTTTGGGAGTGTGGGGTGGATGGGGAGCACTGAGGGGGTTCAGGGCCACTGCTCGGCAAAGCTCCCCCGTGCCGGAGCGTGGCACAGGTGGGTGGGATGGTGGCTTTTTCACAGATGGTGGGGCTTTGCAGCTGCAGTGTTGGGACAAGAGCTGCATGTGGGTGCAAATGCATGTGAGAATGAAAAGGGAAGAATCATCAAGAATGATCTTTCAGCTGAAACACGGATGTATGGATATATAAGTCCTTATGGATATAACAGCGTATGTTCTAGAGACCTCCAATATGTTTTCCCTCCCTGGTGGTGGTTGCAGAAGGTTCTGACCGTACCATGGCTCCTTCCTGCTGCTCTTGCTCTGTGGCTCTGGTGCCAGCAGAGGCTGCTGCTGTGCAGGGAAAAGGCTTCCCAGCATAAACACACTCCCTCCCCTCCTTCTCCATCTCCTTCTCCCTCTATGAACCGGTCTCCTTTGGGCCTTTTTGGTGGCTGTGCTTGGAAAGCCCCTCTGCTGACTCAGCGTGGGGTGGCAGAGGGGACCCATGGCCACCTTGAGACATGATCTCCTCTCCCCGAGGATGTGTTGGGATGGAGCACGGCTGGTCCCCACTAACCTCCCAAAACTACCCTGTTTGTCCACACATGAACTGGAAAGGGTTAAAATCCAGTGCCTGTGCTGAGTGCCCCCTGGCTGCCAGACCCTGATGCCCCCCTGTTTGGACAGGAGGAGCCCGCATGGTGTGTGGGGTGGCAGATGTATTTGTGACTGCATCGTCACGGTGTCACTTGTGTTCCCATCATGTTCCCGAGGCTGCGGCAGCCATCGTTGCTGCATGAATTGAGCGCAGTCATCGTTCTCCCCTAGGCTGGGAGCTTTTGGTCTCTAAAGGCTTTTAGCTTTCGGGAATAAATTTATTTCAGCTGGACAATGCCTCCTGCATGGTCACCCTCCCCCTCATGCTTAGGCACTGGAAAGTCCTGTTTGCATCAATGCGTCTGCAGGAGCAAAGCCTCAGCAAGCAGCTGGGCTCCTCTCTTGCTTTTATTTGCATTTCAGCGTCTGATCCAAGCTCTCCCTTCAGCAGGTCTCACCGAGGGCAGAGCCTGCCTTCGATTCTTCCAAGCCATTTGATCCCCAGTGTGGTCATCGCGTGCTCTGGGTCACCTCGACATGAGGGCAAGGTTTGGACATGGGAGTTGGGACCTTACTTCAGCAAATCCTTTGCCCAGTGGTTTCTGAGCTGGATGGGGATGGGAGGCCTCGACTTTCCTGCAAGGGGAAAGAGCAGCAGAAGGAAATCATAAACAGGGTTTGCATGAACATGGTCATGTCCCCTCTTCCTTCATTGCTCTTGGCTTTCCTTTGGTCCCTGCCCAAATGCGTCCAGTTTGCCCAGCACTTCTGGTGCTCTCCTCAGCCGTGCTGGGCAACTTTATTTAATTCATGGTTAGGCAATTAATAGAGGAAAGAGAGAGCCAATATTAACAGGGCTCCGCCATGCTAGCATCCTACTAGGGGTTCAATCGTGTTGTTGTGGAAGGACCCAAGCTCCTGAAAGCCGCTCAGAGAACCGGGGAGGTTAATTTTCTCTAATGGCACTTAATGATTTTTCAGGAGGCAACCACTAAATCCTGCTTGCTAATCCCATTAGTGTTTCGGGATAGTAATTAGTATGTTAAAGAGGCAGCTTCTTCTTTTTTCCTCTTTTTTCCAGCAGAGGCATGCTGAAGTTTTACCTCTTTGTTAGCCTGGATGCGGTGGTTACGCTTTGCCCGGCACAGAGAAAAAGTGGCTTTTGGGGGCTGTTATCAGCTAATTCTTATTTTATAGCCTTGCCCATGCAATGCACATGTATTGTGGGGTTGGATTTTTTTTAGTGTCCGAGTCCTTTCTGCAGGAAAGAAGTTTCCTCCTGACCTCAAACATGGCATGGAGCTCATCCCTGAAATATGATTTTAAGCCTTCTCTGATCAATCCCCTCTGGTTTTAGCTGTGCCAGTGGGCTCTTGGTTTGCTTTGGATCATGGCTTTCTGTTCCCTGTGTCGTGTCGCAGCATGGGAAGAGGTGCTGGACCTGGAGAGCTGGAGCTTGGGGACAATGCTGGAGACCCTAGGTTCAGGGTGGCCACTCCTGGGGTGATTTTGGGTGTAGATTTATGCCCATACCAGCCTTTGCAGACCACTCTGTAAAGTAAAACACCACGGTATGTCTGGGAGAGTTTTAGCAGCAAGCAGGTCCTCTCTGGAGCCGAAGCCACCATGTACCACTTGACTCTTGATGACAGCTCATAAGTCTGCTTGCATTTTGTGTTTCAGAGCTTATTTCTAGGGTTTAATCCATCATTTTCATACACCGAGAACTTCTGAAGCAGGGGTTAAATTTCTTGAGCTCACAGCCTCAGATTTTTGTGCACAGAGCCTCCAGCTGTTGTCCGTAGCTCTGGGGTACGGAACATTACTCCTAAAAAGATCCCCTGGCTTCCATAAATCCACAATCTATAAACATCTCATGAATGGTCTTGAAACGGTAACAAAACATTTAGAGTGGTTGATAATATAATACCCATTTAATACCTCATGAATTCCACGGCCCATTTAAATCTTTCATGGATAGTTAATGATTATTCATCAGCAAGATGTCAGGGAAAAAAAAACCAAACTCTGAATGGAAGGTCTTAAAAATACATTAGTTGGGGAACAAAAGTCAAGCTAGTTAAGAGTGAGCTCAAGTGTGTTAACCCTTGGAAGGGCTTGTGTAAAATAGCTCTCTGGAGGCAAGACCTGCCCAAAGCAGTGGTTGGGTGGTCTTCATCCTTAGACCCATGCGAAGAGGAGGTGAGCCCAAAACCTCGTCCACTTCCCAGCTGTGGTTCCTTTTGCCACACTGGGTGTCTGGCCAAATTCCTGAACTCTGTGGCCTTCAAAGAGCAGCCTCCGGGAGGGGAGGACCGCAGCATATTGACAGTGAACTAAAGCGGCGTGACCTGGCGTGGCTGAGCCCCGGAGGAGATGCTGGACTCTCCCGAGGACTAACGTGAAGCAGCTGCTGAAGAGGACATGCAGTTTTTGGGGTGTACCTAGGTCGGGTCTGGGGTGGGAGGAGGATCCTCCAGCTCAAGTCAGCTTTATTTTGGGTAAGTTTTCAAAGAAGTTTCCTTATCCTGTATTGTTGCAATTGCATTTGAGGCATTGATACAGATAGAGTTAGGTGTTCTGGTTGAAAAGGCTTGTGATGGTCATCCTCCTTGCCTTTAGCCTTGTTGACATTGAGGTTGTTTTCAAAATCAGGATAAGGATATCCTGAAAAGATAAAGTCAGATGTGAAGTTCACGTCTGATCTGCTGATAGAACACGTATCTTTTTTTTTCTTTTTCTTTTCCCTTGTATTATTTCCAACTCTGAATCAACTCTAACTTGATACTTTCTCTGTTATGGGGTTGTTTTTTTCCATCCCATGTAACAGAGAAACCCCTGAGAACAGAGTATCTCCTGTGGCACTTGGCTGAGTCTAATGTAGGATCCTACTTGGGGCATCTAGGCAGAGAGGTGAAAGACTGAATGAGTCCTAGACTTACAGAAATGTAGGACCAGAGGTTTTCTCCACTGTCCCCACCACACTGGGCAGCTTGCAGTTGGACTGTCCCTCAGAATTAATCATCTAAGCTGGGCAAAAATGCTACTGAGTGATAGAGCATTTGTTCTGCTGCTCTGCAACCTTTATAATAATGATGTTTTTCCCTTGTATCAATTCCAGTCAACGCTTCCACCAGGTAGATCAATTATTTGATATTCTGTGTGGTCAGGATTCGAAAGAGCGGCATTTGAGATGGCTCTGGTGCCTGGTGTCTCTGACATTTCCTGGGCTTGGGAAGGCAGGTGGGCCCTTGGCACTGGGGACAGGCAGGAGATTGATGTTGCAGAGCAGGTGGATGCAGCGGGACACTGCCAACATGTGCAAATAATCTGTGCACAGCATCTTCAGCATTGTGTTATTCATCCTGCATGGTGTCTGAAAATACAGAGACCTGAGTGGTACATCTGCAAGGGGGAGAGCACTGAAGTGCGGGAATTTGGAGAGCAAAAGAAGCAGCATCTCCCTCTGTGTTTCCAAATAATCTTTCCGATTAATCTCGATGCCTTTGGTGGTGAGTCGGGGCTGTGGAGTTTTGAACAGGTCCTGGATCATCTCCAGCTCTCTCAAAGTATGGTCTGCACACCGTGCCTTGACAGTGACGGGTAGCCTCCGTAACAAACTGGCGCTCTGCTGCAATTATCCCACTGCTCTGGGCTGCGGTTCTCCTTAGGTATGTCATTAATGTTAATTACTGCTGTGGTGTTCCATCAAGAGGAGCAGGAGCTTTAACATGCTTGGAGGAGAAACTTTTCACCGTGTCCTTTAATGAGAAGTTGAGCCTCCTTTCGCCACTTTGAAAGCAGAGACCGTGGTTATGAATTTAGATAAAGATTAACATCTCGGGAGTGGTGGCAGAGCTCTCTGCTGCCGGCACCATTGCCTGATGTGCTGCCTCCATGGTGTCCACGTGGGAGGAGAGGGCATGGCAAGGGCAGGTGCTGTGGGCAATGTCCCAGGGTGGTGAACAGGAGATGGAATGATCACTGCTGGTCATGATACAACCGTGCTTGAGCTCTTCTCAGCACTCTTGTCCAGTTGTAGCTCTGCAGGAAAGACATGAAGCAGCTTCTCTGTCCTCTTCTTTGTGGTCCAAGAGGTTGGTGAGTGGATTTCATCACCCACTG